TGGAAGGTTGATGTGATACATCATTGGCAATTCCATGTCTAACACGTTATGGTTTCTCCTTTCGAACATGACATTCTACTAAGGCATTCTAGGAGGAGCTTGATTGCAAAATAATTCCAAAGATTTTCAAATAGTCGTCAAATCTTCATTCTATGTATTAGTCTCCTGGATCAAATTGAAGAGCATTAACCGTCTTGTAAGTTTCATGTTTATGTTTAGTATGTAGATATAACAATATTTGTTGACATCACCGATAAATGTTTGCAAATAATTTATACCCTCTTTTGTAAGATGTATTGTATGGTTCACATACATCACTATATGCATGAGACCAAGCAAATCTCTAGCCATATTGCTCTAAGTAAACAATATTTACACTTCTTACATAATCAACAAGTCCAAAACTCCATCTTCATGTAGTTTGGATATGCATTGTTTGTTTATATGGCCTAATCCACAATGCGAAAGGTAGGTGTAACACCGTAAATTTTTAAACAAATATTTCATTTAAAATCATATAATTCTCATAACACATTTCACAAAAATCTCATTTATTTAATTTACAAATCGGAACTCCATAATTGTTTGATTAAAATCCAGGATCCTCAAAACATAACTCTTTCACTGGTGTGTACAATCAAGTCGGTGCCTTCCCGTGATCCCGAAAAAACCTGAAACACATAACACACAACACGGTTAGCACGAAGCTTAGTGAGTTCCTCAAAATACCACACACATCACATTAGCCACTCGAGGCTATAACACCATAAGACCCTCCGTTCAATGTATCTCTATGGGACCCTCCAGTCCCACAACTCTGATGGACCCTTCGGTCCTAACTCTGTAAGCTCTGAATAATACACAACATAAATCACAAAGAAATAATGCAGGATATCACAATACACAATGTAAGCACATAAGATATCTCAATCACACAAAGATACCACTCAGGGTAAGTATAGTGAGAAGACTCGCCTTGCAAGCAAGCAAGCAAATAACCTCGTACCCGAAGCTCGAACTAGCCTCCGCCTATCACAAAGGATGAATACCTCTAATTAATACTCTTTACACGACTCTAATAACCGAAGGCTATTCTTTCTCTCTCTAACTCTTGAAGTGGATAAAAGACCATTTTATCCCTCCATGGTCTCCATTACTCATGATTGACCCAACCCTAAAGTCAACAGAAGTCAAACTCGAGTCAACAGTCCATGTTTGACCCGACTCGCCGAGTGCACCCATGTGACTCGTTGAGTCTACTCGTTTCCTCATAAGTCTCACGAAGGTCCACCAGCTCATCGAGTTGACACCCAACTCGCCGAGTTATCGCATGATCAAGCTCATCGGGACAAACCCTCATCGACTCGTCGAGTCAGGCCATGGACTCGACGAGTCCCTTCGATCTGATTTCTCATTCAGACGACTTAAGGCAGATCTATCACTCCAAACACTAGATCTTCCATCCTAAGGCTCGATTGTCACGTAAAGCTTCGACCTTTAGACTCATGCATAGTGGTTTTGCTCCAATCTACCAATACATGTTCTTATAAGGTGTTAAACACCATAATCCTCATATGGATGAATAAAGTTGGTACTTTTGGGCTCTAGGGACCTCACAAGATCCATATCTGAGGTTTAAAGTATAGATAACTTAGTATTCTCGAAGTCCCAAATAATATGAGATGAAAACCCTAACTTCTCAACTCATGAGATCTAACCAAATAAAGGGGAAAGATTCAAGCTTTTTACCTTCCTCATGAAGCTCTGGACGAAATGGCCTGAACCCCAACAACTCCTTCTTGTTCTTGCTGAACATACTCTTCTTCCTCCTCAAAGATGCACTAAAATCCTTCAAGGTTAGCTTGGAGACTATCTTAGCTCACTACACTCATTTAGGGTTTCACACAGAAGGGTTAGGCAGCTGGTGAGGCAGAAATTGGGGCATAAGTTCCCTTATATAGGCCCTAACCCCGAGAAATTAGGGTTTCTCTGCCCAGCACCTACTCGGCGAGTCGGCTCTCTGACTCGTCGAGTCCATTCATTAATCCCACGCGGACAACTCGACTCTACTCGACGAGTTGGACTCACAACTCGCCGAGTCACTCCATAAATCTCAAAATTAAACACACAATAATATACCTGAAAGTTCGGATGTTACAATAGGTGTGATCTAAATCCATTTCGCTCATTTGGTATCTATATATATTGTAGAAATATTTATCATTCATATAGAACATCTCATTACAATATATAAAATTGTTTTATTATTGCAATTATCTTCGAAAACCTCCAAGCAACATAAGAAATAATATTACTAACCATACTATAAATGTAAAGGCAATCATTATATATATATTACAATAATGACATTTGTCGATATGTCACTGCCTGTTTACTAAGATCATCATAGATTATTAATGTGTGCATTCCATTATCGTAGAAATATTCCCCCATGGCACAGCCAGAATATGGGGCCATAAATTGCAGAGGAGCAGGATCTGAAGTGGTGGCTGTTACAAGAATGGAATATTCCATAACATTCGCTTCTGAAAGAATTTGAACTAATTGTGCCACAGTTGAGCGTTTTTGTCCAATCGCTACATAGACACAATACAATCTCTCTCTCTCTCTCTCTCTCTCTCTCTCTCTCTCTATATATATATATATATATATATATATATATATATATATATATATATATATATATATATATATTAAAGCGCATGACCTGTTTCAACAGTAAATTTTAGAATTTTAGGTTTCGGCCACCACTCTTTAGGGGCTTTATAGTTTACATCCCTTCAATTTTTACCACTACAATCTCCACCCACAGAAGTATGTTTAATTGTCAATTTGGTCCCTTCCTTTTCCAACATTGTTCTATTTCGATACTTTTTTTGCACATACTTTTTCCGCACAATATATTGTGGTTATTACACATTTGGCCCTTCCTTGGTCAATGGGTAGTCAACCATACTGTACACTCTTGGATTTCTTCGTTACATGTTTTTGGAAACTGTCACTTTTGTGCCAATTTTTTTTTAGAAAACTTTAAATTATTTTCAACCAATTTTTTTTATGAAATTTTAAATTATTTCCAACCCATGCGAAGCATGAGCTCTTTCCTAGTATATATTAAAGAGCATGGGAGGTTTGAACAAGAAAGTTTTTGGGTTCAGAGTTTGGCCACCAATTTTTTGGGATTTAGCTCCTCCGGTCCCTGTACTTTAACGCGATATGTTGGTAACGTGATCACCCGGTTTAACAGACTTCTGACCCTATGTTTGGGTTTTGCTTCTTCTTCCTCCTCCGTGCTTCTTTTGGTTAATGCCGACTTTTTTGGGGGTCGTCGTTGCAAAACTTTTGGCTTTGGTTCATACGTGTTATGTTCCTGATGATTTGCCGCCATTCTCCTCCAATGACCTTCCTTCCTCCACCGCCTATCCATGTTTTCCACTTGACGACTGCTTTTGGGTTTTAAATAAAATTAACAAGCAAGCAAACAGAAGAAAAACCAACCACTTGCAGACGATGCGTACAACCTGTGGCCATTACTGTTATCAAACATAAAAGAGTTCCCAATCGGAAAGAACTATGTTGGTTTGCTAGGTTTCTGAGGTTGTCGTTGTTTCTGTTACCTTTGTGACGCTTTTTGGAATTTTTTCTCCACTACTCTGTATTTGTGTTGTTCAATATTAAAGAAAGCTTTAATCTTCTCCGATATTGGGTATTATCAGATCGTTTCTTCTGCTTCTTTGTTCTTCATCGCTATCTTCTTCAGCTTTTTGTTGTTTAATTTCTGTTTCTACTGTGTTGTATAGTTACTTTGATTTAGGGTTCTTTCGCCTTTTTTGTTGTTGTGTCAATTGTTGAATGTAATTGTTCCATTTATTGTTTTCTGTAGCAACAACGTTAGTGGAAACCATGGATGGAAATACCTCAACCAACACTACCGAAAAACCTATCAGATGTCGACGTAAGTTTTTGTACCCATGCTTAGACCAACTCCAATGGATACACAAACATAGTGTTTTGGTGTGAAAATGTGTTCCAATGGACCACTAAACTCAACACGAAAATGGTGGGATTAAATAGTGGCCTCTATATTTGGTGTAATACTATTCATCACACAAAAACATCTTTTTGAATTGTTTAATACTATTTTGGTTAGTTTTATAACTTTTACAACTTTAATAATTATTTTATTCTATATTATAATATGAAAATATGTTTTAGTGTAAATTTTTAGTGTATGGTTGGGGTAGAAAAAAGTTTTGGTGTTAAAAATACACCAATTTAGTGATATTTTTAGTGGAATGGTTGGAGTTGCTCTTAGGCACTATAATTTCATCCTTTCAACTTAAAACGGTGTACAATCTGTTTGAATTTTCATACGTTATGTTTTTCTGAGAAATAAACAATTACCTGGTAGATGAAGGCCACATCTATCTTAAATTTTGATTTCGCACCCCAGGTGTTCGAGAAAAAGCCTAGCTGGGTCAATCTTCCTGGTTGGTTCTCCTCTTTCGGACAAATTACACTTTGCTCTCTTAGACTACTCTCATTCACAACTAAAACCAACCCAACTATCTATTAAAATATTAATTTCCCTCTTTTCCATCTATATAACCCAACCAAACTAAACTTTTACTCTCATTAGCAACTTAGACCAACCTAAAAATTAATATTAAGAAATAATAAAAAAAAATACATCATTATTAGTCTCTATTTGTAGAGAAATTGAAGTGTATTTTTTTTTATTTTCAAAAAAATAAAACATATTTGTGATTTATAAAACTTGTTTGATAATAAATAAAGATGATAATAATGGAAGTATTCGAAATAAATCAACCGACTAATGTTTGCTGCACCAACACCGTCGGTCATATTATTGCTTTTTGGATACCCTTTTCATTTTTATTTAATTATCAACCCAACCAACTAAAGGCAATTTTTTTATCCTTAAATATAAGAGGATTAGGCGAAGATTACAAGCAAGAATGGGTAAGCACTCTTCGAAGAACACATATAATTTCAATTGCTTGCTTACAGGAAACTGAATTGGGGGTAACCACATCTTCCTCTATAAAAATTCGTGATTGTTGGGGGAATAGTAACTGTGATTTTGAAATTGTAGAAGCAACAGGCAGGTATGGTGGTTTACTTACCATGTGGGATAGTCAACAATTCACTGCGACGGAATCAATTCGTTCTAGATTCTTTCTAATTGTATTTGGTAGATGGGGCGATGGTGGTGACGAACTTGCGATAATGAATGTCTATGCTCCACTGGCGCCAGCCCTGAAAAAGAAACTATGGGACGATCTCTCTATGTTGAAGACTAACAGGAACGCAAGATGGATCATTATGGGTGACTTTAATGTGGTACGTAGACAGACTGAAAGAATAAATTGTTGGTGATTTGTTATCATCAATGTTATTTAAGTGTAATGGGATTACTTTTTTGACTAAAAATGATCTTAATAAATATTAAACAAGTAAGGAAGGTATGGAGTACACACTTTTTTAAGTTTGATCAAGTATCAAAGTATACTGTCATTTAGGGGCGAAGCCCCTAAACGAACGGGGGTCCGGGGGCAGCGCCCCTGGGAGCGGGTTATATTGTTGTATTAAAAATGCATTAGAAAATCCAAAATTTGAATATTTGATCCGTTTTTTACTTTGCATTAATCCTTATACAAAACCCGGATTTATGACAGTTTTGACTGTTGAGAAAAACTGTTATATGACAGTTTTGAAAGTTTTTCAGACAAGGAAGGTTTATAACCAATTTTAGTCAGTTTTCTGGTACTCACGAAATTACACCATCTCATTCTCTTTCTTTCTCTTTGATTTTCTCTGAGTCTTATCCAATTGAGGATTTGGGAGTACCACCCAAATACTTCGATTTAAAAGTGATTATCACGATTCTTAGATTTCCAAGTGCCACTAAACCATATTTCTAACATAAATTCCCGATTTTGTTCAAGCAGCGCGGATGACTTCAATCAATTCATCAACAACAATTCCCTCCATGATCTAAAAATGGGTGGATTCAAATTCACATATTATCGGCAGGAAGGAAGGAAGTTAATCAAGCTTGATCGGTTCCTCGTCTGTGATAACTTTCTCAATTCTTTTCCGGGTTCCTCTGCCACAGTATTACCTAGATATTTATCAAACCATAGCCCGATCATCCTTAACACCATATAGGAGGATTTCGGTCCAAAGCCGTTCAAGTTATTTAATTCTTGGATGGCTAGGGATGGATTTAAAGAGATGGTGATTAAGGCGTGGAATGAATTCCGAGGGTATGGCGAGGCGGATTCCTTCTTGGCAGCGAAGCTGAGATTTCTTAAAACAAGCATAAAGAAGTGGAGGGATGTGGAATATGCAAGAGAATCAGGAGAGATGTAAGAAATGAAAATGAGGCTGGAGGAGCTTGATGCTTTGGCGGAAACTCGTGACTTGATGCCTCATGAACTGGAAACAAGAAGTAATTGTCACAGTAAAATTGTTGAACTTCAAAAGCTAGCAACGATGGATCTAAAACAAAGGTCAAGGATAAAATGGATAGTTGACAGTGATGAGAACACAAAATTCTTCCATGGATACATCAACAATAGGAACTGCAGGAACCAAATGCATGGGCTGACAGTTGACGGTTCTTGGATTACCAACCCATGCCAAATAAAAAAGGAGGTTCATTCCTTTTTTGCTGAAAAATTCAAAGAGACATGGAGATCCAGACCAAAGATGATAAATCCCAAATTTAAAATTTTTTCTTAAGAAGCTCGTGATCTGATGGAAGCGGAGATTGGAGTTGATGAAATACAAACTGCGGTTTGTTCTTGTGGAAGTGAAAAGGCACATGGGCCAGACGGGTACTCGTTCAAGTTCTTTAAGAAATATTGGGACCTGATTAAAGATGACATTGTGGCATTTGTAAAGTACTTTGAAAAGTGGGGAAAATTCTCAAACGGTTGCAATTCATCATTTATAACCTTGGTGGCAAAGGTGAAGGATCCAACATCACTCAAGGATTATCGTCCCATCAACCTTATTGGGGCTCTTTACAAGATCATAGCGAAGATCATTGCTAATCGTATGAAGAAACACATTGGGGGTTGTATTAATGAAGTTCAATCCGCCTTTTTGGAAGGACGTAACATATAGGAGGGACCACTTATGGTCAACGAACTAGTTTCGTGGATCCAAAAAAGTGGAAAAAAAATGCTATTATTTAAGGCGGATTTCAATAAAGCTTTTGACTCTGTCAATTGGGAGTACTTAGACTCGATTATGACACAAATGAATTTCGGTGAAGAATGGAGGAGATGGATAATGGGATGTCTAGAATCATCGAAAGCTTCTGTATTGGTTAATGGCTCCCCAACAAAGGAGTTTGTGATGTCAAAAGGAGTAAGGCAAGGCGACCCAATGGTCCCATTCCTTTTCATATTAGCAATGGAAGGACTACATGTTATGATGAGTTCAGCTGTGGAACGGGGATTATTTGATGGGGTGAAAATTCCAAATTCCAATATTAATGTCTCGCATCTGTTCTACGCAAATGATGCGCTATTTTTAGGAGATTGGTCACAAAGGAACATTGCAAATTTAGCAAGAATTTTAAGGTGCTTCCACGTGGTTTCTGGATTAAAAGTAAACTTCAACAAATCACGAGTGTATGGTATTAGAGGTGACTTCAGCGAGGTAAGTGATTGGTCTGATCCGCTTGGTTGTGAACCATCAACCCTACCTTTTACTTATCTAGGTGTTCCTATGGGTGACAATATGAATCGAAAAAGTGCATGGAAACCTATAATAGATAAATTTAAGTCTAAATTGTTGTTATGGAAGTCAAAAACATTAAGCTTTGGAGGTCGGATAACACTAGCAAAAGCAGTCCTTGGGAACCTACCCACGTACTATTTATCTTTGTTTGCTGCACTAGTGGGGGTAACCCAAGAACTTGAGAAAATTCAAAGGCATTTTATTTGGAGTGGGGGTAACCCAAGAACTTGAGAAAATTCAAAGGCATTTTATTTGGGGTGGGACTGAGGAAAAATCGAGTATACATTGGATCTCCTGGGAAAAAATCACAGCTCCAAAACAGGTGGGAGGTATGGGCTTGGGCTCTCTAAGATCTCTTAACTTCGCCCCGTTGACGAAATGGTTATGGAAACTTAAAAGTGATCTGTCACAATTATGGGCTCGCCTAGTTTGTGCATTACATAAGCTGTAAAATAATTATACTTATTGTTTTGCAAAGAAATCTTTAAAGGGTGTATGGTCAAACATTGCCAAGGCCTTAGGAGCAATGGAGAAAATGGGGCTGGCAGCAACAGATGTTATACGGATGACAAACGACAGATGGGGTTCAGACTTTGTTGAGGGTGAGGATCTCTCGGTAGCCTTGTTGAGGATTAGACTTGACAGGGCATCCCATCAGATCTTTGATGGGGAATTCTCATGGTCGAAAGTTGTTCCAACAAAGGTCTCATGTTTTGTATGGCGAGCAAAACAAAATAGAATCCCATCATTGGTGGCTCTAAACAAAAGAGGTGTTACATTTAAGTCAGTTACATGTGGTGAGTGCCAAAATAAGGAGGAGACTGCAGATCATTTACTCATAACATGCCCGTTGGTGAAAGAAGTGTGGATGGCGGTTACACAGTGGTGTGGAGTCTCGAATTCAATCAGTGACTGTACTACAGTCAGTGAGGCTCTTGTGGGGGACAACAGTTGGGGACATGACACAAAAGAAAAGAAAATAGTTGATGCTATAAAATATGGGACACTTTTGTGCCTATGGAAAACAAGAAATGAAAGAGTCTTCAGGAATCATAGAAGTCAACCGGCGAAGATAGTGGATAATATTAAATCGGTATTATTCACTTGGATAAAACATAGAGCAAAGAAGGGAGCCTTAGATTGGAATTTATGGTGTAACTATCCACTAAAATGCGGATGAGGATATAAGTGGCGATACACTGTTAAGTTATTTCCTTTCATTGTCATGTACTTTTTGTAATCTTTTGCTATACTAGCATCTTGCTAGTTAAGCCGTTATAAATATATTTGCCGGTTCAAAAAAAAAAAGTCACCAATGGGAGTGGTCTTAGGGACGTATTATACTCTTCTTTTACGTCAACGGCCTTGGCTATGGGAATGTTTTTGTATGGTTTATATTTTTTATTCTCAAAAGTTACTAATGATATTATCAGTGCATGTGAGTAACCAGTCGGAGACATGAACCTTGCACATCTACTGCTCCCGCTCCCACCGAGCCCCTCAAACCCCCAACAACAACAGCTGCAACATCAGCAACATAACCAAATTATGCTGCCAGTTCGTCAGCAACCAGTCCTGCCAGCAGTACACCCGAATACTCAGCTACCGCTTCTTCCAGCCTTGGTTCATTTTCTTTCTTCTCGGTTACCGTCTTCTCGATCGTTCCTTCACACAAAAAGGTTTGGTATATTTATTGATTTCACTGACAGTTGTTTTATTATTTGGTATATTCACCTTTATTTCATTTTACCCTATTGTATGATCTTTTTTACTAACATGATGATGATATAATTTTTCATATCAGATATGCTATGATCCATTGCCTTTTTGATGGTATTAGGCGCAACTCTGAAAGATTGTGAGTTTAAATCTTACAGTAAATTTTTTTTTTTTTTTTTTTAAATCAAGCTTTCTTACATTAATGATTTGGGAAATACCGAAATAGGTTGGGGATAATAACACTACCTGGAAAACTTAGAATGCTTCCACCTGATGACACATGCTCACATTCCTCATAATTTTCCTGATAATTTGCGTTCTACACCTTCGACATGGATAAAGGTGTTGTGTATGAGTAGAGTACAATTTTGGAATGAGTAAAAGTGTTAAGCGTAACAGGGGCGTGGTAGATGCGTACATGTGTACATGACTGGATTCCAGAGGCTTGCACGACTGTTTTGAGGACTTCATGATCATTGTTTTAAGTTTGTGTATTTGTTTCTTTTTTTCAATTTATACTTTTGTGCTTGTATTAACGATTTTGAGACTAAAAAAATGAGGTATCGTTCATTTCTAAAATACACTTGCTGCTAATTGTCTTTCAGTTTGATATCTGGATGTCCTTTGATTTGGGCAGATTAGTGAATATAGCTGCAAACATTAGTAGGTTAATGTGAAAATCTCATTAAAGGTGTATGGAATTGTTTATGATAACAATGGATTTGTTTAAGAATCCATTTCAACAAGAATTTGCAGGCTTAGAAAATTTTCCTTTTTGGTATGTTTTGTGAGATACATAAACATAATGAAAGTATATGTATGGTTTAACTTCATAAACTGATTTTTTTTTCAAACGTCAGTGTTTCAGGATTTGATGAAGGAGTATATGCACGGGTTGTGGCTAATGAAAGTACATATTAACTCTTAGTGGTGATCCTTAGAAGCAGTTGTTTATCTATATTACCCTACGTAGAAATATCTGTATAAACATGTTAATATGTTAGCAACTTTGATCTATGTTTAATGCAATACAAGTGCTCCGTCTAAATCTAAATTAGCAACAACGCCCTTTATTTTTTTATAAAACAAATGACCCGGGCCTTTTCCTAGTTTGAAATAATTAACATTTCTCGAGTTTTAAAATTAAAGAAAGGATTGAAATGAAAAGGAAGGAAAAAAAATTAATTGGCTATATTTTCTAGTTGAAAGGAATAAGAAAGTCATGTTCTCAAGTTGGCACAGACTGAGTGATACATTTTAAGGGGAGAAAAGGTAAATTTTGTCTAATCAATTTTTTCCTGTTCCATTCTTTCCCTTCACTACCCCTAAAAAAACAAACAAACAAAACACACAAAAAGAAAGGCACAAGGGCCACATGAGTTTATATACGATCCCAATGCAACGGTTGCAACCCATGCAATTCACATAACAATGAACTTCAATGACCATTTGGGCAACATATGGAAAGTGTTATTATTATTATGAACAAGAATCGATTGCAATTCACATAACAGTGCCTGCTTCTGCTTCCTATAACGACAGGAAATATATTTGACCAACAAAAACCAAGTAAAACAATTACAACAAATCTATCAATATCATGCAAAAACACACCTTAGGTGATTGAATTTTTGCATGCATCACTTGTTACGTGTCGTTTTTACAGGCTCATCATCATCATCTTCTTCTTCTTCAATATCCCAACTCAAATCCTCCTCATCTACAGCAGTACTCAACCGCTTGCGCAACTCATCTTTGTTTGGAGTGTCTGCATCAGAATGAGAGGCCTTTTTGGTATCATTGTTTTCAACATCTTCAATCTCATCCCACTCCAGATCTTCCTCCTCATGAAATGAAGGCTGGTTTGGTTTATCCTTACTATCTTTGACTTTTCCAGAGTCAACTTTGAGATCATCCACTGATTCAGCTTTCTCTACAGTTAACACATTTCCAGTACTGGCTTTGGGTTCCTCTATAATCTTCTTATCAACACTAACCACATTGCTTTTCATCTCCTTATCTTCATCAACAATCTTGGAACTTTGAGATTTGGATTCATCAGCAGGACTCTCTTCCTTTCCAACATTATGCAAATCTTCGCCTTTTGAGGTTTTTGTTTTTGATTGATCAGTTTGTTTCTGTTCTTGTTCTTCTTCTTCTTCTTCTTCTTCATCAACATCCCAGCTCAATTCTTCTTCATCATCTACTGATAATGATCTCTTTACAAGCTTAGCTCTGACATCCTCTTGCTGTTTAAGCTTATGAACCTTGAAGAAGTACCTATACCAAAACGTTGCGTCATCAACCTCATTTGGAACAAGCTTTGGATAGATTCCGGACAAAGCTCCATTATCTCCAACTAATATCTCAATTTCATCTTTCTTATCACCAAACACAAAACCTAATTTCCACTTATTGTAATCATCTAAATCCTCGGGATCTTCACAGTAAGTTCGCACATCACTCTGAATCGCATTCAATTGCGTATCGAAACGGCTGTACCGTTTCGAATGCAAACCACTGCGATCACTAGAAGTATGTCTTTCAGAAGCATCAGAATCATCAATATCCGAAGCTGCAAGAAGAGCTTCCTTACCTTGTGCGATGATATCCGCCGTTGATTTCAGTACCCCGTCTATCGCCGACGTACCGACCTCAATGGAAGACGGTAACTCCTTCACGGCACGGCTCGCCACTTCACGAAACAAATCGGACTCTTTCCTCAAACCCGTCCCAAATTCCTTCAGATCACGACGGTACGTTTCGAAGACTGATTCGGATTTGGTCGTTAAAGTCTTCACCAGATCTCCAAAGGTCCACAAACCACCAACACCACCAGCGGCGCTACCGTCTTCCGATGAATTAACATTCGAATTGGAATCATCGTCTTCATCGCCTTCTGTTTCTTGCTGTTTTGGCGATTGACTTTGCCTAGGATCCGCATCTGATTCTTCGTAACTATCTGGGGCTTCAGGCTCCGGATCCTCTGCTAATATGGATCTGAAAAAATCCATTAACAATTGAGAAGATTAGAATTAGGGTTCTTAGAAGTTAGATCGTGGCTGGTTTCTCCTTCAAATCATTGAAGCATAGCCAATTACGAAACACACAACGTCACAACTCACAACTCACAAGTCACAACGACTGTAAAAAATTCAAACTTGGGCCTCACCATTTACGGGCTTTTATGTTCTTAGAACAATTATTAAAAACATATACTTTCATTTCATGAACTTCCATACTGTTTGACCCAATTAATCACCGGTAGAAATACTAGAATAGAATCCAAAATCAAATCAAACACCGTATCATAATTTTCATAGAGATTGGAGATAGTTTTATGTGTAAATTACAACATTCACATTCGTTTATCTATGGTGCATCGGGTGTCAAAAATATGTTTATTTTATATTTTTAAAAATTAATTCGAACCGTCGAATTTGTATTTATCATAATTTTCATAGAGATTAGAGATAATTTTATGTGTAAATTACAACATTCACATTCATTTATCTATCGTCCATGTGTCAAAAATATGTTTATTTTGTATTTTTAAAAATTAATTCGGACCGTCAATGAGTTTGTATTTTCTTCAACGCTTAATCTCTTAATAATTTCTTTTTGCGGTTTCTTTTATTTCTTTATCAGTTTTTAGATTAAAAAAACAAAAATCAGTATCCCACCCCTCTCTCCTCCCCGTTCCCCCTCTCCCTAGTTTCCTTCTTTATCTCCTTCATTCACATTCATTGTCGACAACTACAAAAACACTCATCCTCCTTTCTCTGGCGCCCCTCCTCCTTTCTCTGGCGAGACCAACCTTCTTCTTTCTCTCTTTTTTCAGATCGCCACCCACTACCACTACCCACCTGGACGATGCCGACAAGTTGCAAATCCAAACAAGTTGTCGGCCGGTCGACGAGTTGCAGATCCGACAAAGCACCACCATCGCAGATATGCTTAGCCACCTTCTTATCTCTTTTACAAATCAGACATATAACTCTGGAAACCCTAGCACAAATTGATGTAAAACATGACAAGTAGAAATGACGGCTCCATCTTCGACAACCCACATAACCTCGAAACCCTAGCTGACAGATAAATCTCGATTTTCAGAGATGTTTAACCAACATTTGGTTTAACCCATCTACGACAGCTGTTTTAACCCACATTTATAGCTCGATTTTTAGATATGGTTATGGAGAACAAGGGAAACTACATAGCTTGCCATCACCAACGTTTCTACGTTTAGGAAGAAAAACAAGGGATTTATATGGTTATGACCGTTGGGAAGAAGAACAAGGGAAGAAGGGTCGTCGACGGTGTTTCTAAGAGAACAATGTGGTGGACGATGGTGGTCAACGGTGGTGGACAGTGGTCAGGCTGTGGTGTTGGTCCGACGGTGGTGTTTGTTTGTTAAAGAATTTAGGGGAAATAGAGTTTAGAAGGGAAGGGGGTAAAAATAAGGTGGGTGGGGGTTTTATTTTCTTTTGTATATTATAAATAATTGTAAGAAAAAAAACCAAAATAAATATAAAAATTGTAGAATAATCATTTTCTTTTCTCACAAGGGATGAAACATGCAAATGTAAACTAACGAATGATGACATTTACAACTTTTAACCACACGAGGGATCTTTCGGTCCGAGTTAATTTAAAAAAAAATGATTAAACATGCGTTTTGGCCCATGCACGATGGGCAATTTATGTAATTTTCCCTAATTTTTTTTTTGGTCTTTATATAGATATTAAGTATGTTAGATATGGTTAAGAAAATATAACATTTACATTCGTAATTTAATTTGTTTAATAGAAAAATTTAGGATGTTGCATGTATTAGAATGAAATCATCGTCTAATGTTCTAATTGGTGTGAACACTTTAGGACCCGAGTTTGAATCCCATCCAAGACACCGTAGTTGACGGTTGGAAAACCAAGTATTAAATAGAATAACATGTAAGCCGTCCGAAATGTTAAAGACTAAGAGCGGACGGAGTGGGTTCGACAATACCCTCGGCGACCTCGGCGAACACTGCGCTGACCCCTCGGCATGCCGAGCTCGGTTCGGCAACTCGGTAGAAATGTGTCGAGCTTCTTCCTCCTTCCTTCTCCCTCACTCAGCAGACCAACCCTCCTCTTCTCCCTCTCTTCTTCTATCGAGCTTCTTCCTCCCATTTTGCTGATGTGGCATTCGGCAGTCTCGGCACCACTCCGAAAACCCTAAAAATCAACCTCAAAATTAGTTTTACTATTGTTGGGATGAATTATTTTTTGACTCAATAATACAAAAATGTTAGATTCTACTAAAAGACATTTTGAGATATATATTTACCACAATTATTTTATTTTATTTTATTTATATTTTCTTTGTGAACGGTAACCCCTTTAAATTTTAATTAGTAATGTTTCATTTTACCTATTATTTGATTTAACCATTAAAACTTTATAATTTTGACTAACAAATTTTTATCATTTTAACCATCAATATTAAATATTAAATTCGTAATTGTCCATATAATATTTTTATCGTTTTTCTATTTTTATAACTATAAACGTAATAACTTTATTTTATTTTATTTTATTTTTTTAAAACATCCGGTATATATATATATATATATATATATATATATATATATATATATATATATATATAGTTTTGTTTGTTTATGGCATTTCATGTCAATCTGAAAAATAGACACTGTTGGTATTATTGTCCACAGGATCCAAAGATGAGATATTGCGAGTGTCATCAAATATTGTGCAATTAAATAAAAGAAAAATATGGGCACTAGATTTAGTAATCTTTATTTTAATTTCATGTATTGCAATATGTTGTTCTAATTTCACTATTGTAATGCTTTTATTTAAATCTATTGTCAACTACTTTTTAATTTTGTAAATATCATATGTTTAAATTAACAAACGAGGGGACTTTTAAAATATTTAATAAATTAGGGGGTAAATTAGTTAATTTCATAAAAGGTTTTTAAAAATGGTCAACTGGAGATGAATTAAATTAATAATATTTTATTTGACAAAGTAACGAGAATGATGATATAACCAAACAAAAAGTTATACATTAGTCGACGATGGAAGATACTCTTATAGGGAAATTAAGGTCTTAAATAATGTGAGGCATGACATGACGACAATGTGAAATATCAAGGTTTAAAAGACATAGTACGCTATAACGTGTTTTGACGACGGAAGACATTGATTTTGTATATAATTTATAATTGTATATGTATGTACATATATGTTTTCTACAATTATCCAAGCTTTTATATAATTTATAATTACATTTATACCAACATATCAACTTAAGGTGGCTTTTTTTTTAGGAAAAATAGCTCTTAAAATAAATGTACAATTGCGAGTCTTCGTGACTTTATGCACGTTATCTAATCAGAAAGCAAAGAAATGCTTCATGCCATTGTATAATTAATAATTGAAATATTTTATGATTTTCTAATAGAGAAATTAAATATTTTCCTACTTATTCTTTATATCCAACTAGATGAGACCCCGCTTTGCGGGGTCCGGATGTGTTAACTCTTTTTGGTCGATTGTGTGTAAAATGTTGTTTCTACATGTTGGAAATCTGGACTGAACGTGTTTCTTGATATTAATTGGCAAGAGTAATAAGTAATTAAAAAGAATGGGTTGGGAGGGGTATTAGAAGCTCAAATTGTCCATACCAACCAATCCCTAAATCACTGCAGACTGCTTAATGTCAATCCACCAGTTGTAGTTACAATACAACACCGATTACCCTAGGATTACAATATCCTAATAAACGAACTCTAAAAGTACTCTAAACTAATCAATGAAAGTTCATTGCTAACATGTGCATTTAAATATCCTGCATACCCTGTTCGTGAAGATCGGCTATTGATGTTTTCTCCCCATTGCCTCGGTCATCAATCCGTGAGTATCTACACACAAAAAAAAAAAAACAAAATTAGGTATCAAATGCAAGAAAAAAATCTAATCACAACCTAAAAAATTGTAGAAGTTTCATATATTGTTCCTAATCTAACCATGTTCACATCTTATATCATGTCTCAATAATAATTTGCTCTAATGTGAAAATTATCAAATGAGGAAAGTAAAAAAGTTCAGTTACTTCTTCCCAAGTTTTTCTATGTCCAGGAGATGGTGGGACCCACAACTGTCCATTCTCCAAAACCTTCATTAAATGCGAGTTATGAACCCAAGAATACAGAAGCTGATATACTGCACACTCATTTCTTTTGTAGTGATGTTTGTGTTCCTATTGAAAGTAAAACTTGCAAAGTTTGAAAGACCTGGAAAAAAAAGTAAGATAATTAGAACTGTTGTTTCCTTCAAAATCAATAAAGAATCAACATTGATAATGTAAATCAATGTTTTTTTGATTGTTTTTTTTGTTATTATATGAGTAGTTGTAAAACTTGTTAGGTAATGTAAATCATTTGATAGTTTCAGGATGGTGTAGGGGATGTTTGAATTGGTTTTAGAAAGTGATTATGTAATAGTGAACGAAAATAAAGTAATCAAGCCACAAATAACATCATCGTTCCAAAGATTACATCCAGAGACCCATCTAAAAGGGAATCATAAATCAATTATTCGTCAGAAATAACTTCATGGCTTCTATGGATTTTAAATTAAAGCAAATATTAAAGGCATCCGAGGCTTTCCAACAATTGCATCAACCTTGCAACATGTAAGTAAAATAGATAAATATATAATAATTGTTTATTTGTTTCAAAAGAAGTCATTTTTTAACTAAAACTATAAATTTTATGGATTCACTTGTAAATAGAAAAAAGGAATAGATGTTTACCATCAACTTTTCGATTATGCCCCTGCCCTTAAATCAAATTATCCGAACACAATCTGGTTGAAGAACAAAATAATAACTAATATTTGAAAAAATTCAACATTAAAATCTCCCTGTAATCAAATCATTCCAACGGTTTGAGAACCTGAATCTTCATAATATTTAGAGTGCCCTACAACCAAAAAAGTCCCAATAAGGAGTTTATTGAAGCGATAAACAGAAGATACAATATGAGAGGTTGTCCATTAACAAAAGCGATTGAAAATTCTAAGTATGTTGTTATTATCGGTAAACATTAGAGCATAGAGGTTAAGTACATTGCTATTTTTTGCAATATAAAAACAAAAAAAACTAATAAAAAAAATAAAACAAATCAAAGGGTGATTAGACAACCAACCGGTTAGAAACCGAAAGATTTTGGTGTGTGTGACAACTTTTTCTTTCCAAAAGTTTTGAGAACTTTTTCTTTCCAAATATCTATTTTGACATTTTATAAACAGTCAAAATGGTTAATTTGAAACAAATGTTCAATGGTTTGACCGAAAAGAATTAAAGTAAAAATGATTTTTCCTTTTTTTGTAATTTGCGCAGATAAAAAGAAACACTTACCTACCATTTTTTGTAGACTGAAAAAATCTGGTTAAATTATGTATTTATGGCACGAAGAAAGTCATTGGAAAGACTTTGCATTATGGGGTCAAGAAATCCAACATTTGAGAAATGCCACATCAGTAAAGAATAAATACCATTTACAAAATTACAAAAGTACCCTTTTCAACAGATGAATCCTGCTCTTTCTGTGAACTGTTTCCACTTGGCTTAGCTTCTTTTGCTTTAACGTATTCTTTAGGAGGTTTAGTAGATATAATGAACCTTCTTTTTAAAGATTCAGGTGACAGAAATTCTGCTAAACTCTCTTTTTTAGGAGTAAATAGCATTTCCCCAAATGTTTCAGTAACCATCTACAATTTAGTCACAAAGGATAAAACACTTAGATGAAGATTAAGTTTTTAATAGAATTATATATGAGAAACAATGAGAGAATTACTCACCTTAGCTACTTTAGCCTGAAGATCTGGAGTAAGGTGGTCTTCTAGGGTAATTACAACAGGGTATTCGGATGCAGTGAAGGCATGATTCTTGATAGATCTTAAACAGTTACTCAGTGGAACCGGAGCAGTCAATGTCCTACAGAACATAACCAAGAATCAATGAACAATGGCTCATATTTCAAATAGAAAATTGGCTTGATATGACAATATACTTATATACATATGTCAGAAAATTTAGCAGACTTACATGTTCTTCCTTCCACCTGGATGGACTCATCGGGTCTTTCCAAAGGTCAACCTTTGCAGGTCTATAATGGTCTGCAAATAAACAGAAACATTATGTTATTGTTTGGAGAAATAGCAACAACGATCACAACAGAGTTTTTTCAGCTTTGAAGCTTTTACCATTTCCAGTTCTGGGAGATGGTGATTTGTGACTGGAATCTGAATTGCAATATGATGGTGTTCCATCTGCATTAGTAAATTAAGGCGATCAGATCTCATATTTTAACTTCGAATCATTCATATTTTGAACAAAACCTTAAGAAAACAATCATAACTAACGATGATTCAATAATAACATAGATCTATTAATACTTAAGCTTCAAACCATACACCAGCAGTCGAAAAAAAAAACGATTAATGGTGTTCAAAAGGGGTTCGAACTTTGAGTTTGACTCGTGGAATTCATGAATACGAACTATTAATTGATCAAATCAGCGGATTGGAGCAACATACTGAGCTTAAAATAAACAGAGAGATCAAAACAAAGATATGTAATGATAGAGCGAAATTTTGGGTTGACTTATTACCTTAGAATATGATCTGATGAAATTGAAATGGAGAAACTTGGAAGAAAACCCTAGTTAGAGTTCAGAAGTTCCAATCTGAATAAATTTGTATTAAAGCTGACGATTGTCTCAACTCTCCACCACCATGACAACCCACCTCTTTCTATCGGTCCTAACAGCCTCCCCCGTCACGGTGTCACAACGGAACCACCATGCTTTCTCCATCTGGGTTTGCTGCCGGACGAACGAAACAGAAGAGGAAGAAGTGGTGGAGCCGCCTACTGCCGCCGCTGAGTGTCGATCTCCATACCCCTGTTCGTCAATCATCACCGAGACCAACTCCCTTTTCTCTTTTTCTTCTGTCCGGCTCCGTCGGAGACCTTTTCTTCCAACTGATCGAACCCCGTCGCATCCACATCTTCACCTTCCGTCGAGCAAAACTCCACCGCAGACCCCCTCTGCGTCACTCCTATCGGAGCCCTTGTTTACAGAGAAACCTGATGCGCATGATGCTTGCATCAATAAAAAAAAAAGGATCGAGTAATGTAAACACGAACCGAAAACATAATTGACACAAACCCTTGGGAAAAAAAGCAGAACACGAACTTGAAGTAGCAAGGAACGAAGCAGGGAAAGCAGAAGACAGCCGGTGATTTGTTTTTGATTTTTGATTTTCTTTTATCTGGAAACTCAGCGAACACCTAGTGGGAAAAAATCTGTTCGTCTTTCCCATTCCCTCTCAATCGGTAACGGTGGGTAGCAAACAAAAAAAATTTATGACCAATCAACCCCTTCGAAACTCATCTGGCAGAGAAGATGAGGAGTGGAGCTCTTCTCGATTACTTGGCTGCTGTGAGCAAAAGAGGCCAGACGGATATGCGGAAGGATCTGGAAGATAAACATGAAATACAGCCACACAACAGCAACAGCGATCATCAACACGTGTACATAGAAACAAATTAATTACATAAAATACCCTTATACAACAACATATAGGTAAGGGATCATTTCTGACAAACACTTGTCAAGTTCACTATTCATGGCGCACAACTTTAATCTATATATATAATAATTAGAGAAATTAAATATCATTCTACTTATTTCTATCCATCTTTCTATCATTTTTAGATGATGATAATTGTAATAAAAATTTATTAAATTTATTAAATATGACAAGTGTCGCATTTTTAAATGTGTAGGAAGATGATAAAAGAAAAAAAAATGGAAAGATATTTGATTTCTCTTTCTAATATTGAAAAGTTTGGTTATACTTAACTGTAAATGTGAATGAATCTTGTGGTTCAAGAAAATGTATAGTTGCTACCATGGTTCGTTCGAGTTTTGTTTGATGACATAAAAGGATGATTATATATCTCAAAATTCTTCATGAAATACTTACATAATATAAAAATGTCTTTTAAAACATGCAAATTAACTTTTTTTATATTACCGATTTAAATAACTATTTTGACTAGTTTGTTACCCCCTCACTTAAACCTAAACCCTCTCAACTGCATATACCAAAAGACTGTGCCAAAAGAATTGCTACCTTTTTGTTCGTTATTGAATTAACCTCGACATCGACATTTCATATACCAAAAAATTGTACATCGCTAGGAAGACTGGTAAACTCCACCTTCCACTCTCGTTAATCCATCCACTCATGAAAACCCAAAGTTACCTTCATCCACCAAAGTGCTATTAGGTAGTGATAATTAATAACAAGGTCAACAAGTTTCTACATCAACTATCTTGAAGATGGACAAGATTGCACATGTTCTTTTCACTCCAAGCATGACCAACTAGACCCATGTGATCAAAAGTGGGACTATGGTTAGATTTCATTACAGTTTTGAATCGTTGAATCGTTAAACAGATTTAATTTTGAAACACTTTGTTGAATTTTGTATAACATATATTCCAATAATGTGGTTTCCCTATTTGTTAGTTAAGTAATCATTAATTATATATGAACCTTTATAATTAAGGTTGGAATTAAACTATTAAGCCATAAGCTCTCATGATTGGACCCTTATTTACCCTAACTAATTAAGGTGATGAAGATTATTTTTTGTATTTGTATGAACAATATCAACACACACGTAAAGGCATGCAAAGTGTAGAATCTTATAATTTCCCGTAATGAACATTGCATTACGCCATTACCAAAAGGGTTAAAGTACAATGCCATGCCAATGAACTTAAACTAAAATAAGACTAATACAGATACACAAACTAAATGATGTGCCTAATATACAATACAAGACATGTACACTAATTAAAAGATCAGTCAAAACTCAAAAGAGATAAATCAAACCAAAACCAACTATATCTAGTTCGGTTCTTGTTTCTAGATTTTTCTTTTATATATAAAAAAAACTTGTTTGTGGGCCCCTATTATACTAGCCTACATACATGGAAGAAACCAAGTTAAAATACCAACTAAACATGAATCTCGTGATAGTCACTATTCAAGAATATAACCAAATTCAAGAAAAGTACAACTCTATGCCTTATCAATGAAATTATAGTATCATACAAGCAAACCCTTTGTCTTTAACAGACTCATAAAGAAGACCCCATCTACCCACTTTTTTAATCTTTTCTATACCTCACCTTCAAAGATTAGAATCATACAAAAAAAACCCTTAAATTCTTATGCTTCTTCTGTGTATTTTTCAACACAAATATGCAAGAAGAGGGCAAAACAGATGATGGTTTTATCCCTCTTGGCATTTGCCATAGGCTATTCAATTTCATCATCAATAGCTTCCTTACAAGACATTTTACATCACCTCATGATGAAAGATCTCAAGCTCATCAAGTCAGAAATCCGGACCATGATGTAATTAGTCACCATCATCATGGCCATGACACGGATCATGAAATACTAGTTGAGTTTAGACACATTAATGGTTCAATTGTGAACAGGAAAAACAAGAGCTCTGGTCAAAATTTGGTCAAAGAAAACGGGAATCCGACATTAACCCGTCAGAAAACGGATTCACAGGATCAAAGGAATGGAAATGGTGATCAAGAAAAAGCCCCCAAAAGGACGAATTTGAAGATCATAGAAGGTGGGAATCTGCCTGGAAGGAGGCATCATCTTTTGAGTGTTGCTTCAAATATAAATGAGAAAGCTGATGCATTTATAAGGAGCAAGAAAGAAGCCATGGAAAAGAACTTGAGCATGAAAGAGATCAACGATGTGTGATGATAAAAAATGGTTGCCATAAAATAAACATCATTTCCAGTTTGTGTGCATGTTTTCTTTTATAAAATAATCATAACTATGCATTTGTATTTCTTCAATGATACATCATAAAAAAACGATGAAATTTCGTTTACTCTTCTTAATAGCAATGCATTTAGATTCTTTACTCATCTTAGCAACGCACTTATATTTCTTTACCCATAATCACAAAATATAGATGAAACTTGTAAATCTTACTTTATTTTTGCTCATAATAGTAATGTAACTACATTTGTTTACTAATGATAGCAATGTACTTTCCATTACCCATAATAACAACATGCTTTTATTTATTTACTGTATTAACAATATGCAACCAAAAATTTGCAAGCACTTTAAAAATTTCAGGTTATATATGTTGCTATTTGAAGAAATGCAAGAATGTACGTTGTTATTATATTTATAGGTAAAGAAATGTAAGTTGGTTGTTCTTATGGGTAAAAAGGTAAAAAAAAAAAAATCAATGCAATTGTTACCGAAATGAATGTAAATGGCAGGGAATATAGCTACCTCAAAAGAATTTATAGGGAAATAAATGAAATTAGTGTACAACAGAGGGACATGGGGTTCCTAAAAATCTAACTAATCTAAAACAAGAATTAAAACGAATTTCCTATCGTGTGGTGGAACGTCTTTGAATTTTTGTTTTTGTATCGTGTATGAACAAAATGATTAAGAACCATCAACATATATATATATATATATATATATATATATATATATATATATATATATATATATATATATATTTGCTGTTAGCCTCACCTCTTTATGTATGCTCCCATTCGCAACGCACAAATTTAATGACAGATATACCCTTTTAGTACTTGTTGCAAATCTAAAGCATGAAACCCTCTCTCGTTCACCTTGTTTACGAATTCCGTTCTTGTTTCTTGGCCTAAAATTCAAGAAATCACCTTGAGGACCTAAGTTTCATCATTTGTCGAAGACAAGATAAGTTTGGACAAACGATAAAGATCATATGGGGCCCACAAATGGTCAACCACACAGGGTTTCCCCGAGTCAAGCCTTAACCATGGTTTACCTTTGCCACTCCAATGAAGCAGGCTGATTGCACCAGGGTGCAAGCTCCTGCATTTTCCTTCAATGTTGTCACCACCCAAACCATGTTGGTTCCAACTATGGTCAACTGCTTTTATGTTTCCAGCAAAAACAAGTAAAAATGGTGGCAAAGAACCCAAATGATATATCCTCTTTTGCTTCTGAACTGCCATCCATTCTTCAAGCTTCTGTAAATACCCTCTTTGCCTCCATTTCTCAACGTCTAAAACCATCACTCCTGTGTTGAAATAACAAGGATTCTTACCTCTATCTCTCCCTTTGAACACTTTTGCCAATTCCGGGTCGGACCAGAAATTGTCGTTGAAGTATTGTGTGAAATTGGCTTGACAATATTCAGGTGCAGCGAGCACCTTGTCTTGCAAGTCAACTCTCCACAGCTTCTCGATATCATCCACGACAACAAGATCCGAATCCAGATAGATGATCCGTTTCACATACGTCGGAATTATGTCTGCAAGGTAGATTCTTGCGTAATTCAGGGGTTCATCAAGCGCCTCGCGTATGGATTTTGATATCTTACCCTGGACCAAATTGGAATCGAATCTGTAGAGTTTGAAGTTGAGGTACGGGAAGGTGGTTTTGATGCTGGTTTTAATATCTTGATCGAACCGAAGCCATAGGAAATGGAACACTACGTTTTCCGGACAGCCGGAGTTATGTAGAATTGACTGGACGGCGGCCATTGTCCCACGGAGGTAGTTGCAATCAAGAGTCATTGCTAAATGGATTCGGTCGCTGGGAGAGGATCCACATGCTTGGCCATTACGAAACCCTGGTGCTTCACGGAAAAAAGGGACATTTTGGGATAGTTTTCGGTTACGGGTGAGGCGGATATTGGTGGCGGCAAGGGCGGTTAATGGTGGTTGGAGGGAGGACAGAGACAGGAGGCCGATGAGGAGTAGAAGACAATCGAAGCTCCGAAAGGCCATCCTGCCCGGCAATAAAGGACGGTGGACGGAAATATCAGGGAAAAAGAGTTCAAACAGCCATTAGAGGCTGATTGAAAAAAGATTTTAAAGTTTTGATCACAGAATCTTTTTAGAAATATTATAAAGGAAAACAAGGGGATTGATGGGTTTGAGAGAAAGAGAAGATTATTCGGAAGAAAATAATGGGATATTTCTATAACAATTTTGACTCTTTTATGACAAATCAGGAAGTCAACAATCGTCAAAAAAAAAAAATCGTACTACTAATGAATGGTTTGGGATGTGCGGCTATAATTTTGATTGTTTGCAAGGATATATATATATATATATATATATATATATATATATATATATATATATATATATATATATATATATATATATATATATGGAAACAAATTATTGGTTTTTCAAGGAAATAAATCTTTTTTTCAATTTCTAGAGTTTATTCTTTATCAAAAAAAAAATCGAAAAAAATCTAAATTCATATATTAACATTGTGAATGTGAAAAATATTTTTCGGATTCACATTGTGAATTTTCAAAAATTCACATTGTGAATTTGACGTAAAAAAAATCGAATTTTATATCAGTGGAAAAAGGATAAAAAGTTATGAATTTATATATTTTTAGTTTTTTTTGATAAAAAATAAGTTCTAAAAGTTGAAAAAAAGATTGGTTCCTTGGTTAATTATGGTTCTCTATTGAACCTCACCCTATATATATATATATATATATATATATATATATATATATATATATATATATATATATATATATATATATATATATATATATATATACTAGTTTATAACCCGTTATAACCACGGTTACAAAATTAATTAAATTTTTATAGTAAAAATTCAAAGTTATTAATCAATTATTTTAAATAAATTATTAATTAAGAGATTTTTAGTTATATAAAATTATAATCATTGATTTAAATAAATATATGAAATTATTTCACTTTATAATTTGTATTAATTTTATTTTAATGTTATTAATTTAATGTAGATAGAGTGGGAAATTTAAATTTTAAAATTTAAAATTTAAAATGAATAATCAATAGGTTGACAAGTGACAAATATTAATTAGGAGACATAATATGGTGACACATGACAAAAAAAGAATAAAATATGCATTAATTAAGAGGTCTAATAAGATGACACATGTCAAAAGGAGAATAAAACTATTCTTTTATTAGAATACGGATTTCTAATAAATAAATAGGTTGAATCTCCTTTTGACATTTGTCACTTAAATACAATTCTTCATTCCACATATTAAGGAGATATATGTCACTTAGTTATAATTGATTTACTTTTTCTAATTATATGTTAAATTTGAAATTATAATAACTTTAAAATTTTGATATATCTCTTAGTTAATAATTTATTTAAAATAATTGATTTATAATTATAAATTTTTACTATGAAAGTTGAATTCATATCATATAGATAATCTATATATATATATATATATATAATATATATATATATTATATATATATCTATATATATATCTTCTATCTACTCTAATAAATGAATATCCATTTTGTCACATGTCAATCTCTCATAAGTTTTGATACTTGTCATTTTATGGTATTTTTGAAATAAATAATATCCACATGTCAACTTCTAGGTTTTTTTAATTTTTAAAATTAAAAAGTCACATAATACATATAGTTATATAAGTAAAGTATTAAATGTAATAAATTTGATCATAAATATCTACTCTAATAAATGAAGATCCATTTTGTCACATGTCAATCTCTCATAAGTTTTGACACTTTTCATTTTGAGGTATTTTTTAAATAAATAATACCCACGTGTCAATTTCTAGGTTTTTTGAATTTTTAAAATTAAAAAGCCACATAATACATATAGTTATATAAGTAAAGTATTAAATGTAATAAATTTGATCATAAATTGCAATAAATATGTTTTTCCTTCCTTATTTTAAAATTTAATTTTAAAAAATACTTAATGTTTACATTTTGATATTACATGAGTCTCACACCTAGTAAGTAAGAAACAAAAGAAACATACAACCATATTTTTTTCGTATTTTAAAGTTTGAAATAAATAAAGAAAAGAATTCTAACGATCTTTTAACAAAATAAAGAAATTAATTGTTTTTTGTATTCTAACAATCTTTTAACTATTTACTACAATGACAATATATTGTGTTCTTATAGCTGAGGGTTTTGTCAAAATTAACAAAATAAATACACTGTATGCAGAAAGAAAAAATTGCAAAAATGGTCCTTATGGTTTTGTTAATATTTTTGGGTAAGGTCCAAAAAATAAGTTTAGTAGCAAAAAAATGTCCATATTTGATGGTTTTGTTGTGGTTTTGGTCCCTACCTCGTTAAGTTTAACAGCTTGGTTGTTAAGTTTTTGAAAATGACGCATTTACCCCTAGGGACCATTTCTGCAGTTTTATCTTTTTACACAACTAAGAGGACCATTTTGCAATTTTTCTTTTTCATTTTATTGAATTATTGTGCATTAATTCTTTTAATTAATCTTTTTTTAATTTCTTTTGTATTGGATTATTATATATTAATAAATATTATTTTTAATATTATATATATATATATATATATATATATATATATATATATATATATAGTAATAGGGGTTGGAGACGGCCCGTTAGTGGTAGTGGTGACTGAGTGATGGTGGTGGTGTTGTTCAAAATATGTTATCTTCCAAATATTTAAAATATATTAGGAGATGTGGGGTGGGTGAGATTTTTTTAGTATTTTTATTTAAAACAATAAAGAAAGCAATTAAAAGAAAAAAAATAATTAAAAAATAATACTTATTATAAAGAAAAATAATAAATATAAAGTAATAATAAATAAAAAGAATTAACACAATAAAAAAATTAATTAAATGAAATTAATAATCCAATAAAGTAACACTTACTAATAGATAAATATGATATGTTAAAAATAATATTTTTTTAATATATAATAATCCAATAAAAAGAATTAATCCAATAAAGAAGAAATTCAAAAAAATTAATTAAAAAAATTAATAATCAGATGAAGTAATATTTACTATTATATAATTATAATATATTAAACATAATATTTATTAACATATATTAAACCAATAAAAAAGAAGTTAAAAAAGAATTAATATACAATAATTCAATAAAATGAAAAGGCAAAATTGCATAATTGGTCTTTGTAGTTTGGTAAAAAGACAAAACTGCAGAAATGGTCCCTAGGGGTAAATCCGTAATTTGTCAAAACTTAACAGCAAAACTGTTAAACTTAACGAAGTATGGACCAAAACCACCAAATAGGGACCTTTTTTGTTAATAAATTTTTTTTTGGACCTTACCCAAAGAAATTGACAAACCACAGGGACCATTTTTGCAATTTTTTCATGCAGAAATAATCTCACAAGTCACAAATGTAATACAAAAGACATACAAAATGTCCCTACATTCAAAAGTTCATTTTCGCCGTCTATTACACTTTTAACCGCGGAAAATAGTCAAGTTTGTCATATTATTTTGTGCTTATTAGATGGCACACATGCTCTAATTTCAAGTTTCAAGTAAGTATTCAATAATTCTTCATTTTTAGTACATTTAACAATCATAATTATTTCAATAACATTTCGGTAAGTAGGGTTTTACTCTTTTAGGTTATTTCGTCTTGTATATATTCATAAGCATACATTACCAATTCTTTGACAAAAATTGAAGTAATGTTAAGTGAAGATGTTGAATGGTAGATCATGATCTTCCCTCTACCTCATTGTCATTATTGAGACTTAGCAATGGGTGGTCCTAAGGTTTGTGGTGGTATTAGGAGCTAAATATATAGTAATTATTACTATACTAAACAACTCGAATCTATGGGTATAGAATGAAATGATGATCACAAGGAGCGGTAGAGTCACAAATAATGAAAGAGGTCCAGCACCATAGAACGCCAGAGCAGGAGCTGCTTGGTTCACCATGGAAGAAGTTTTAGGAGAAATTAAATATCCTCCTACTTTTGTTCCTACAAATTAAATGATGACATATCTTATATTAGCATACTAAAATATCATTAATTTCATTAAATAAGGACTCAATGTTACACATGTCACTATTTAATTGGGTAAGAGGATTTGTAGGAAAAAAAAGTATGATGATATTTAATTTCTCAAGTTTGAGATATGATGCAAACCCTACTAGAGTAGAAACGAGTTGAGTTTAGGAATATCCTGACTCGGGAGCTAGCTAACGCTAGATGTGGAGCACTGGTGATCAATGAACCAATAGTCGTTAAACAAGTCAACAATGATCCGGTTCTTACTCATACAACAACGATCCAGGAAGGAAAAAATGAGTCTGAAAGTTATCAAGGACCAGAAGAACTAGAGGTCGGGAAGAATGATGAACCCAGATGCAACTGCGAGTACAAGGACTTTACGACTTGCAAGCCGTCATATTTTTAGTGGGAAAGAGGGTCCATTTGGACTTTACGACTTGCAAGCCGTCATCTTTTACGGGCAAGTTTTAGACCACCTACGTTGTGAGGCAATTCAAAGGTGAAACGATCCGTTGGTGGAATTGTTGGATCCATATGCCCAAGAATCATTATGGAATGATATTGCTATTAATATATGATCCTATAGGGCCACACCTTTATCAAGTTGGCGCATTTTGTATATTTATTATTAATATGATTATTAATAAATAATATCGATTCTTGTATTTTAGTTAGGGAATAATTATTGTTTTGTGAAAATAATAATTATAAGAGAGTACTACTAGCTATTATTTCATATGGTATGAATTAATAAGTCATGCACAACATTTTGGACTAGTTGGATTCTTTTGTCTTTTATCTAAAGACAAAGTTTATATTTTATAAACTTGGAGTTTATAAAAAATAAAGAATCTTACTTTTTAAAAGGGCATAATGATGGTGTAGGAGGTTGCTTATTCAAACCTTCCACTTTTTGTCTCCGGTGCTTCTAAAGGCTACCA